AAATCAAAACTGTGAACAATATCAATCTCTTCACCATTCACTGTGATGCTGCCAATCGGCCCAGTGGTGAGAATCTTTTTTCTTGATAATGAGCCTCAAACCATAATGAAGGCTGCAGTCCCTGACCTTCCACAGCAAGCACTTCAGGTCCTCCTCAGTGTCAGCAAGCAGGGTTGTGTCATCTGCATAACGCAGATTGTTGATGATTCTTCCTCCAATCCTGATGCCACATTTCATCAGCATTGTTCTGTAAAAAGCTTTTCTGTCAGATACTTTTCTAAATTTGAGCATTCAGATTAAAACAGACTAGCCTAAAGAAGGACTGGCCATCCACTTCCAAAATAACAGGCCTTCGAAAACCTTATGTACAATAGAATACATTTAGATTAGCAGATAGGGCAACAGATGTGGAACTTTCAAGTATGGAAATACTAAGGCGGAGGAACAATTGTAAGCAGACACTAGTAGTTGGAACATAGAATGTGAGAACTATGAATGTAGGAAAAGTAGATATTGTTAAAGAAGAAATGGAATGCATGAATATCACCATACTAGGTATCGGCGAGATGAGATGGACTGGCATGGAACATTTTTAATCACATGATCATATGATCTATTATGCTGGAGATGAAAAGGTAAGGAAAAATGGGGTTGCTTTCATAGTTAAAAAAGTCATTTCTGATGTGTCATGAAATATTATATTGTAAGTGACAATATAATTGTGATAATATCCATATGTATACAAGGAAGTCCAGTGAATACCACTATCATTCAAATATATAAATCAAGAACCAGAGCCAAAAGAGGAAATAGATGATTTCTACCAAGTTCTGCAGTTAGAGATCGATCGAACATGCAATCAAGATGCATAACAGTGATGGGTGACTGGAATGCAAAAGTAGGGAACAGAGAAGGATCAGTAATTGGAAAGCATGGACTTGGTGACAAGAATTGAAGCTAGACACAGGAATATAGAATTTTGCACAATCAACTATTCATTGCAAATACATTTTATAAGAAATGCAGCTTAGCTTCAATAATAAAGGCAGTTTCTTATTTAGTTTAACAGTCATTTTTCTGGAATGCTGCACATCTAAGTTTTATGGAAGTGTTTTCAGCTTATGTCCTTATCTTGTTCAGTAAAATATTCTCAAGGTTTTTGGGGTTTTTTTGCTATGTAAACTGCAATTGTTTCATGATTTTAAAATGCAACCAATATAAATCAAAGTATTTCAGGTGTGGGGGGGAATCTGCCAATAATCTGAGCTAGACAAAATACCTAAAATCAAAAGCGTATTCATACAAAGTTGTATGTAATGACTGTAGTAATCAGTTTATTACACAGATTAATCATTCTTGAACACACAAGCTCCAGAGGAGCAATTGGGTCATGAAATGTACGAAAGCATTTCCATCAAATGCATTTTCACCCTTGTATCTAGGTAGACCTAAGCAATTAAAAACTTAAGAAAATAAAAGCTATTACCTATGTATTAACTGAGAAACCACATACAAACCAAAGAATATGGAAAAGGAGGATATTGCAGCTAATGTTATATGGATCTTGGCTGAAAGCAAGGAGTACCCGAGGAATGTCTATCCGTGTTTCATTGATTATGCAAAGGTGTTTGACTATGTGGATCACAAAACTGTGGCTAACTCTGAGAAGAATAGGAATCCCAGAACACTTGATCACGCTAATGCATGATTCTGGACCAGGAGGCAGTCGTCAGAATAGACCAAGAAAACACTACATGATTCAAATTGCAGAACAGATTATCCGGGAGGCTTGGCTCTATGAGGAGAAATGTGGCATAAGGACTGGAGGAAGACTCATCAACAATCTGTGTTATGCAGATGACACAACTTTGCTTGCTGAGACTGAGGAGGACCTGAACTGCTTGCTGCAGAAGGTCAGGGACTGCAGCCTTTAGGCTGATTGGCTGCATCATAATGGATGGTGAGAAGATTGAGATTGTTCATCGCTTCAGTTTGCTTGGCTCTAAAATCAACACTCTTGGTACCAGCAGCCAGGAAATCAAAAGACAAGTTACACTGGGAAAATCTACTGTTAGGGACCTCTCCAAAGTACTGAAGAACAATGGTGTCACTCTGGAGACTAAGGTGTGCCTGATACAGGCCATGGTCTTTGCAATCACTTGCTATGCATCAGAGAGCTGGAAGGAGAATGGATGCTTTTTAGCCGTGATGCTGGAGAAGAGTATTGGATATACCACGGACTGCAAAAAAAAAACAAAAACAAAACCAACCCAAACAGGTTCATCCAGGAGAGGGTTAAACCAGGCTACTCCTTGGAGGCAAGGATTCTGAGGCTTCATCTGACATACTTTGGACATGTGGCAAGAAGGGACCAGTCCTTGGATTAGGACGTCATTCTTGGGAGGGTGGAGAGACAGCACAGGAGGAGATGACCCTCATGAGGTGGACTGACTCAGTGACTGGGATAGTGGGAGTGGGTGTGACGGAGGGACATGTTACAAGGAGGGACCAGCGCAGGATCGGAAGACCCTCTATGAGGTGGACTGACTCAGTGACTGGGATAGTGAGAGTGGGTGTGACAGAAACAGTGAGACTGGCACAGGACAGAGCAGGGTTTAGGGTTGTTGTACAAAGAGTCACTATGAGTCGCAGGCCACTTGACAGCACATAACAACAACATTGTGATGGGAAAGTCTGCTGTTAGGGACCTCTCTAAAGTACTGAAGAGCAATGATGTCAGTCTGGAGACTAAAGTGCGCGTGAGACAGGTCATGGTCTTTGCAATCACTTGCTTTGCATCAGAGAGCTGGACAATGACTAGGGATGATAGAAGGAGAATTGATGTCTTTGAGCTGTGTTGTTGGAGTATTGAATATACCATGGACTGCTAAGAGAACAGACATGTTTGTCCTGGAGAGGGTGAAGCCTGGCTGCTCCTTGGAGGTAAGGATTCTGAAGCTTCGTCTGACATACTTTGGACATGTTGAAAGGAGGGACCAGTCTTTGCTAAGGAGGGTGCAGGGACAGCGCAGGAGAGGAAGACCCTTGATGAGATGAATTGATTCAGTGACTGGGGTAGTGGGGGGTAGGTGTGTCAGAGACACGAAAATTGGCACAAGATAGAGAAGGGTTTAGGGCTGTTGTGCACAGGGTTGGTTTAGGGCTGTTGTACACAGGGCTGCTATGAGTCGCAGGTGACTCAATGGCACGTAACAACAACAAAAACGTGTATTCTTTTTTTTAGCTTAATTAGCATTGGAAAATTAACCTCTTTGATGTGCAGTTCTGTAAATTTTACCACATGTATACATTTGTACTCTTATCACTATAATTACAAGAAAAAACCATTCTACCACCCAAAGAAATTCTCTCATTCTGCCTCTTTATTGTAAACAAACTCTTCCTTCTAACTCTAATCCCTATCAAATGTTAAGTTCTCCAGTATAACTTTAGTTTTTCAGAATGTCCTGTAATTGAAAGTATAATTGCTAGTCAAAAAGGTCAGTGATTTGAATTCACTAACTCTCTGTAGGAAAAGCTTTCTGCTTCTATGAAGGCTTTCTGCCCTGGAAACTGCAGGACAGCTCTACTCTATCCTACAGCCTCATCATGAGTTAACATCGATTCAGAAAGCAGTGGATTTGGTTTATCTGGGTTTTATAATTTAAGGAAAGATCAAGGTTCTAAATCAGAACATGTGGCAAAAGGAAATCAGAACATGTGGCAAAAGGTTTTTTTATAAAGCTGAAAAAAAATATGAAGCTGCTTCTATGGTAATGAATTCAATTATCTGAGGATTAGAAAAACTGATGGGAAGTATATTTTGATCCAAAATATGACTTTAATATACTATACTGTACTAAAACATACACAAAGATCTATTTTTAATTGAAGGACCATAATAATCAACTAAAATACCCAGTGTGAATCATTAAGTTCACTTAGCACTTTCAAATAGTACACCCTTTGAGAATGAAAAGGGGTTACCATACTACAGCTATGAAATGATTTGAAAGATTTTCATTAGAAAACAGGTCTGCAAGCAACAAATGCTGGCAAAGTTGTGGAGAGACTGGAATCCTTATTCACTGTTGGTGGAAGTGTAAAATGGTGCAACCACTGTGGAAGGCAGTATGGCACTTTCTCAAAAAATTGCAAATAGAGATACCATTTGACCCAGCAATTCCACTACTGGGAATATACCCCAAAGAGACCATAACTGCCACTCAAGCAGATATATGCACAACCATGTTTATTGTGGCTTTGCTCACAATAGTAAAGAGTTGGAAACAACCTAAGTGCCCATCAACAAACGAATGGATAGAGAAGCAGGGATATATTCACACAATGGAATACTACGCTGCATTGAAAAACAAGGAACTCATGCAATACTATTCAAAATGGGTGACCCTGGAGGACATTATGCTGAGGGAAGTATCTCAGTCACAAAAGGACAAATACTGCATGGTGCCACTGTTGCAGGACAGGACTGACCTCAGGGTTGGGGGAGGACTGAGAAAGATGGGTTCAATAATGTATACTGCACTAAAACAGATGAGGGAGGAAACTGTTTAAAAGGGATATGTGATTAGGTATTTTTGTCATGACGGGAGTCCAGAGTGAAGGCTGCATAGTAGATTGGACCTGGGTGGGGAGGGATTGCAAAACAATGAAAGAAATTTTTCTTCTCCTTTTCAAAGAGAGGAGTGTACTCGGGGGAGAGGGGAGGGGAGAAAGTATAACAAGGAATGGGAAACATAAAGTCTCTAAATTTTCATTGAAATTTATAATAAAAAAAATTTAAAAATAGAAAACAGGTCTGATTTGACACGTCGATAAAGAGTTTTAGGGAAAAAACCCTTTCATTGGTACCTTTAAGCGATATGTCATGTAATTCCTATGAGTAGGAATTTGCACTTTTTTTTTTTTTTAGGAATTTGTACTTTTTAGAATTCTTATTTTCCCAAGAGTAGAGTCAAGCAATAGTAGCACTCACCCACCTTCACTCACTAGCTCACTGTTGTCTGACTGCTTACAAGAGATGATTTTCTCCACCAATTGGTTGTAGCTGCAATTACCAACAGCTTTTACAATGTCATCGATCTGGAAAACAAGAGAACAAATGACTGACTCACTAATCATAAGATTAACAAAAACAATAAAACAAACCTGTATCAATCTGAAATTTTATCCTTTTGTCCTTCACCCAAAAATTTTCTGTTCATTTATAGTCTACAGTACAAAAATATTATCGTTATATTTCAATTATTAAGAAAATTATGAAAAAGAATTGTTACATACAATTTTATTTATCTTTAAACTGCATAATTTTCATTTAAGTGAAAAGCAATTTTATTTCTTCCTCTCCCACTCAATTTTATTTCTTAAGGTTGTATTTAAGTGGCTAAAACAAAAATTATTTCAGGGGAAAAACAAAAAAATTCCAGTATTGTTTTTACTTAAAAACAAATGTTTCATAATTAAAGTGAGACAAACATAAAGATATTAATTTACAAGATTAATCAAGTTTCTATTTTAATTCGTTCCTGGCAAATTATAAAACAAATATGAGTTTAGATTATATGCCTAAATGTAAGCACGAAAGCCATAAAATTCTTGTAAGAAAACATACGTGCAAATATTTATGGTTTTATGACTAAGTTTTCTAAGATATGATATCAAAAGTACAACAAAAATAAAAGGAAAAAAATCAAGCTAAACATTAAAATTTAAAGCTTTTATACATTGAAGGACATTGTTAAGAAAGTTAAATTAAAAAAACTTAAATGGCAACCAAGAGAATGGGGAAAATACATGCAAATCATCTATCTTTTAAGGAACAGGAATCTACAGTATATTAAGAACTCTTACAATTATATAATAAAAAGACAAATAGCACAATTTAAAAATGGGAAAAAGGCTGATGGTCCAATGAAGATTGGTGGTTCTCATAACCTTTTCAGCCTATGGTTCAAGTTTTCAAACAAAAGACAGGTTTACATGGTTAACAGTAACACCAGAAAGTACTCACTTCCTAAAACAATCAACCATACAAGACCAAAAGGCAGTATCTACTGAGGGAGAAAACTCAAAATGCAGGAAGGAACAGGATAAACTGATGAAAGGAAGCGAAAATCATAAGGAGCAAGTTAGGAGAGTGCGTTTACAATGTGGAGACTGTAAATAATGTCATAAAATCAGTGAGAATGATTGAACAGGAAACCAATTTGTTCTGTAAAATTTCACGCAAAGCACAATAAAAGATAACAAGTGATTAATGATTAATAAGTACATGAAAAGATGTCTGACACCACTAGTCATAAGAAAAATGCAAACAAATCTAAAAGAAATACCATTCATACTAACTCCATTTAAGAAAAGACAGACAATAACGAGTGTTGACAAGTGCCTGGACAAACCGTTATCTTATTTACTGTTGGCTGCAATGGAAAATGGTACTGCCATTGTGGAAAGCAGTAACAGTTTCTCAAAAGGCCATACACAGTTACCATGTCAGAACTGAACCATAGCTCACCCTCCAGTGGGTTTTCAGAGGCAGTAAACAGCATGAAAGGAGACTGCCTATCCTACTCCTGTGGAGTAGCTAGCTGGTGGATTTGAACCTTGTACCTTTTGTTTGTCACTATGAGTTGTACTTGACTCAATGTCAACTAACAACAACAACCTTTGTGAGGGCAGCACAATTCCTTACCACTTAGCCACCAGAGCTCCCTTAGAGTTATCATAAAAGTCAGCAATTCTACTCGTATGTAAATATTTAAAAAAAGAAAACATGTATTTTTCACTAAAAACTATATATGAATGTTCACAGCAGTATTAGTCACTAAGATGAAACTCCAGAGACTAATATCCATTCCAATACAGTAACATAAAAATCAATGATCCCTGGAAAATCTATTCTTACTTTAAAAGGCCAGACACACGCAAAAAAATCCTAAACTGATTTATTTATTATTTGTCCAGAATAAATAAATCTATATTGTTGTTGTTATGTGCCATCGAATCACTTGCGACTCATAGTGACCCTATGTACAACAAACAGCCCTCAACTCTGCTCTGCCTGTGCCAATCTCGCTGTCTCTGATACACCCAGCCCAATTACCCCAGTCAATGAATCAATCCCCCTCCTAGAGGGCCTTCTCCTCCTGCGCCGTACCTCCACCCTCCCAAGCATGACATCCCCGTCCAAGGACCAGTCCCTCCTTACAACATGTCCAAATTATGTCAGATGAAGTCTCAGGATCCTTGCCTCCTAGGAGCAGCCCGGTTGAAACCTCTCTAGGATGAATCTGAGGAGGACCGGAAGTGCTTGCTGCAGAGGGTCAAGAACTGCAGCCTCCAATATGGATTGAGGCTCAATGTCAAGAAGACAAAGATTCTCACCACTGGACCAACTGGCAGCATCAGGATGGATGGTGAAGAGATT